TATATAAATATAAATGATTACAAAATTGACTAACTATAATACCATAATAAATTAATAGTAATTTGATTTTTGAATGTAAAATATTAAAATTTAAAACACTCAATTAAATATAAAATGTGTWCYTAGTTGATGAAAAAATATATTTAGTGTCTATCAATCATTAGCTACAGACTATATTGTATATCAATCAATTATTATCTATACATTATAAACCTACTGCGAAGATAATAATGGTCAATACGACAAGTAGACAAGTTAATGTCTGTTATACATAGTGTAACAATGATCTTTACTCGAAACTTTGATAGATACAATAAAATATACGTTAAGATGGCCCCTCACACTACAGTGGTGGCGGTAAAATGATTTTGTATTGGCGGTGCCTCCGCTGTGTCGGTAAAATGTGTCCGGCTTCATTTTGCCGCCACCCCTGCAGTGTGTGGCGATCTTTAGAAGTTAAACAAGTTAATATAGTTACCAAGATATCTTAAGTAGCAACAAATAAGCTGCAATATCTAAAATATTTATAAACGCCCATAATTAATAATTATCAAGGTTAATCATCGCCGCRATGCTATTACCTCTCTTACCAGGTAATAGGTATAGTGYCACAGAGGTTTTCATTGTTCTGGATAAAACACGTTTTTGAGAGAGAATTAACAAAATAATTTTATCTTTCTCGTTCAGTCTTTCTGCGCATAATCTAAAACACAAACATTGAAACATATCAAATATCTAATGCTCTCAACAAAAATCTGTAAAGGCGATAATGTGAAAAATAAATATGTTATTTCGTTGAAGTCAGCACACGACATGACACTATGTTGATCCTCTGTCAGTAGTATTATCAAGTTTTGGCAATAATGTGGTATAAACGCCCGTTTTTTGATTTCTCAAAACATGCTTTTATTAAATATTTTAATGTATGCATAATTTTATAGATAACTGAAAATTATTTTCTCAAATATATTACAATTTAACAAAAATAATCCACCAGTCCTTCCTTAAGATTATCAAGAAAAATTACTTATCTCATGGGCATAAGCTGATACTTGAATGCTCTGTAAGGTTAGGTATAGGCGTATAGYTGACAAAATCGTCAAGATTAACAATCTATAATAACGAAATGATTAAAATGAAATGATACCGGACCAATGCTAAGATTATTCCAGTATTAGATATTAGATAGGTACCTACATTGGCGTGATTCCATTAAATTTCAGTAGGTGCCAGGGGCGTGTTTAAGGGTGGGGCCCGTGCCCCCCCCCCCATTCACTGTATTTTATACCTTTTTTTATTATCGAGAGCCTCTTTACGCTCTCTTACTTTTCACCAYGATTTAAGATTTATGTATAATATCTTAAATCGTGTTTATAATATTTTTGTTGTAATCCAGGAGAATTGAAAACCTGGAATATAATATGGAAAGAAAAACCAGTAGATGAGGTTCCATACATTGTATATGCTAATAAACACCCTAGATGGCTTCAGTTATTATAGTTACAACAATAAATTGCATATAATTATAATATGTTTTATTAATTATAATACATTTTTCCAATAAAATTGTATGTTTTTATCACACATGTATTTTGATTATTTGGTTATGCATAATATGAATGATGATGGTAATATTTATTGAGATGAAAAATATAAGATATTTTATATCTCCAACGYCCCATATACGCTAATTTGAATTTTGAACTTTTTGTTTGTGCCCTCTCAGACATTTCTAAATACGYCCCTGGTAAGTGCAAAACTTTTATCGGTCCAATAATCGTTAAGACATATTTATAAAGCTAATCACTTTACTCGCGTATTATAGGTATCTTTTAATATTTGATAACAATATAATATATATATTATATAATAAGCGTATGTTAAATCTTAACATACACAAATATCAAAACCTGTATATTTTAAACGCTGTACCTACTTATGTAGTGTATAACACATTATGCATATAAAAATATAATATTTATATGAACTAAAGTACAGACTTACAGTGATAATAAAATTTTTAAATAAGTGTATATAATTTCAAAAAATATAGTATTGCATTTTAATAGATATAAATTTCAGCGTCTGCGCAGGTGCAAAAGCATATCTTTGCACCTGCTACAGTGCTACATATTAGCAGGGGGTGCAAATGAACCGTCGTRRACGTCGTGAACCCCGGTAATTACGCCTATGGAAGGTACATTTAATTAAGACAATTCTACAAAGTAAACGTTTTGTTTAAATATCATAATTATCGTTGCACCATCATAAATTAGACGTTTCTTCGGGTAATATTAAAATTATTCGTTTAACTGTCCATCGTGATGACCGAATGTATAACGATTCTAAGTTTTTAAATGAAAAAGATCAAGCTTCTACATTAATCTACATAACAAATCCCTGCGAATTTAAGTTTTCYTTCCAATGATAAGTTATAGGTATAACGCATTCTAGTATAGTCCAAACCTGCTTAACTTACATAATATTATATTTACATTTTATACACAAATATATATAATATATTTATATTACTGTTATACTTTCAAACTACTACTTCAAGTTTTTACTTTTTAGATAAGTGGTTAGTGGTCACTAAGTAACGTAGGTAGTAGATAGGTACCTACACYAGCAGCTACACCTGCTGTTGCGAGTTGCGACTTACGTAATACACATACAATACCTACCCTTTATGACTTTTAACTTATAATAGGATTAAATTACAGCTCTAAACATATGTAATGTGATAACAGCCATAAATATTGGCGTAGAAACTTCATAATGTTTGGACATTACGTTAACGACCGAAGGGGATGCTGAATTTAGGGTGAGTTTGAGGAATTTAGTCTTTATAATACGTATATATTATGTGATCACTATAGATATAGATTATGACTACCGAGATAATAGATGTATTTTACTTATTAGTTATTTATACTACCTATCTACCTTATTATATTATACTATTTATTCTATTTTTCTATCTACACATAAATAAAAGTAATATTTTATACTGTATGTATAGACCATAGTGCGTATAATATTATATTATATGATCTACAATACCTATAATAATATTATTATACACATTTTAAAAAAAAAATAGTGGACAACTTATAAAAACTATATTATTGTTCTATGATTCTTTTATTGTTAATGTTTTTTAAATAGAAAATACAAAATTATTAAAACACTTACTGTTTTAATTGCTTGTTAAACTTTTTTTACGTATATATATTATATATATACTTCGTAATGATAGACTGTACCCTAAGTGGCTATATCTATACCCAGGGATATACCGTAACCTAGGTACATTATAAATTATAATATTAGCTTGATAAAATTAACGAATATTGTAAAGMAAATTTGTATAGATTGTAGACGATTTTTATATGATTGTACCTATAACGCATAATTGACTGTAACAAAAATGTAATCGTAACGATTTACTGATATTTTATCGTTGAAATCGTTACGAATACATTTGGTAGGTATTAAATGTACACAGTATACTATGAATATAATTATTTATAATATTATATATTCATTATGTCGGGGTACATAACAGTCATACCTTAATTTATTATAGATTTATACGTAGGTATTAATTTTAGTATTATATTATTATTATAGATAAGTAGGATCTTAAAATAATTGAGATCGTTATGGGCGAGAGTGGTATCTTAGATATTATATCTATATTTTTATTTTTTTTATATCAATAGTTGTAATGCATCTTCTAGGATTCTCGATTTTAGACATATTTTATAAAACGTTTAATTAACAGACGCATGCGCGCATTGGCGTATTTCGAATGATTTTTTTTTTCCCGACAGTYTTGTGCACAAACAGAGTAGTAAATATTTGCTCCTCTCCCCTCCCTCTCCCCCAACTGACTTAACCAATAACATTAAAACATCTATTACAATAATAAACACGAATAATATTATACGAGACCAACACGACCTAATATGGAAATTTCAGCCTAAGTAATTGCCCATTTTTACATCCTCCCTCCCCCTATATTTTACGGCCTTAGCTCAGATATATTATTATATAATATACGCCAGTGCAACCGTACGCGTCTTGTGTATATCCTGTACATTGTATACTCTAGTAACACAGTATACACACATTATTATAGCTATATGTGTACAATTTAAACTTTTGCGTAGGTTTAAGCCATCGAAATCTTTTAGTTTTGCCTGAACTATATATACAATATAATTTATGATACTGCCATCCGTGACTGTATTATATACAAACGCATGTTGCGTGTAAATAGGTCATGATGACGATCCTATACTGTTACTATATGGGGTCGACATTATCCAACAATATGATATAATTTAATATTATTATTACAATTTGACCGGTTGTTGCAGGGAAAAGCGGCAAGTCCTCGGCGTCGGTGTCGGCCGAATCGATAAACCGTTCGCCGGAACCGCATCGGAGGTCGAAGTCGATACTGAAACGGCACCAGAACCAAGGGTCGTCGCAAACGTCGCAAGACTCGCCGTCGGGCAACCACGGCGCTAGGATAGGCATCCGGCGCACGGCGCACGTGGACCCGGAAACGGAAAAGCTCATACCCGACAATCTGTCCGACTATTCGCCCGGAAAGAGTCCGATGTCCCCGCAGCAGCAGCAGCATCAACCGCCGCAGCAGCAGCAGCAGCAGCAACCTCCTCCGGCACTTCCGCTGCTGCCACTGCCGCAGCAACAGCCGCGGCACAACAACAACCATCACCGCCACAACAGCAACCACCGCCTCAACAACAACAACAACAACAACAACGGTCGGACAACCGGTGGCGGCGGCGGCAGAGCGCCGGTCGAGGTGGCGCTGCTCCAGGACCTGCTCGAAGACTCGGGCGGCCCGATATTCATTTGTCCTCCGCCGCCGCCCATGAACGACAACACCGACAAGAGATACTCGTAGCCGCCGCACTTATACGAGCTACCATATAAAAGTATTAATATATTATTATTGTGTATACGTATAATATTATGATGATTAATAATTGGAATATAATGTGTGTGAAATCGTATATTCGTATAATATAATGCCGCACTCTATAGCAAGCAAAATTCGCAGACGCACACGTAGAACATAATGATATACAGTACGAAGACAATAATAATATATAATAAAAATATATTATACACACACAACTCGTTCGCCATTATATTGTTATACACATATTATATATTATACGATATACATAATAATATGACGAACACGGTATTACAATAAAATATAACTGTCGTCGGGATGAATCAAGTGATGTGCCGCCACTGCAGTGAAACCCGGAACCTATCCAGGATGCGAGCATCCTGTAATATTACTATATTATTGCCGCCATACGTACGTACCTATGTGTATATTTTTTGTACAACAATATTCGTGGACGCTCAGCCGTTTGCAAGAACTCCGCCGCCCCGTCCAGGCTGGGGTGCCCGGTGGCGTATTATTTCAACAATATACATTTTACGTACCATATAATATAATATGATAACAATATTATATATCATGCGTATGTATATGACCACGAAAACATCGTTTATATTTATATTATATTATGTATTTATATATAATATATTATAATGTATTGGTTATAAATTACTATGTTATATTATTATATATGTGTAGATTTTTAACTATAACGCAACTCTCGTTTTTTTTTTAAGAGATATTTTCAAATTTAAATCATAATATATATATATATGTATGAGAAATGCTCATTTTATCATCATCATTAGATTGTAATAATAATTATATTTAGTCTCGAAGTAAGTGAAGAAAACGAAATTTAATCATTTACCGTAGTACGTAGATAATTGTAAAGGATGCTTCTTTTTAGGCTTCCTATCAGTCGACTGTTATTTAAATCATCACCATCATCACCAATGTAATCATTATCGAATCATCATCGTCATCAAAATCATCGTCGTTATCGTCATTTTAATATGTTATGTACGTGGTGTACAATATTTTCGTGTCGAAACGATTTTGTTCCATATATCGGCATACGCATCGTCATGTTAACCTGAGTTCAATCCGTTTGACGTTCAAAACTATACGTTGCCAAACTATAACAATCTATCGAAAAATTACAACTATATACAATGTTACTGTTTTGTTAAGGAAAAAAATCAAAAAACAAACAAAAAAAAACAAAWTTTTTCGGGTCAATTTTCATTCCTAAATTTCTTTATATAATAATCAAACGTTACCTACCTGTAATTTGATTTTTTTTTTAATAATAAAAATTGAAGACTGGGAAGCAAATGATGAATTCATTATAACATTAACAGGAAATTAAGCATGCATTTTGCACTGGCCTTTTATAAATATATTTTAATTTAATTATATATGTATTATTAATTATTATACTTTATACCCACTTGGCACAAAAATAAATTTTATCGCTACGCAAAATTAATTTTAAACGCGATCTCAATTTGATATACCGACGGTAGTAAACTTAAAATGTATAATGATATTTTGTGAAAGTATTTTAGGAAGAAAGCAATATTGTAGTTAAATATAATTGCGTAGTTGACCTAATCATGTAATTTTAATTGGATTTAAAAACGAAAACATTGTATACGTACCAATCGATATAGGTACGCAAAAAAAAATTGTAATGTGCATTGAGCACAATTTTTTTATAGTTCGGTCGAAACGACTAATTTATTAGTATAGAATTACATAATATTAATATACGAACAAAATTATAGTTTCCGTTTTTTAATTCGCCTGTGATTTATCTTTTGTTAAGTTTATAAAATATGTGTATGTATATGAGCAACAATATACATAACAATGTTATTGAGCATTTGATTTTTAGTCTATCATATCCTTTTCCTTATTTATTATTATTTTAGGACGAATATTGAGTATTAAACAACAGTATTGTTCAAATAAAATATGATTGATTTCCCCTCCTTTATTTACCAAAAATAAGATATAAATATCCGGTTAAATTAAAAATGTCAATAAAAACTTTAATCTGTATTTTATGAAAACAAAAATACTCCATAAATCATAATTTATTTTATCAAACAYTTAGGTTTAAAGTTTAACTTGATTGAGTAGGTGCTTGAAGTATTATATACCTATATAATATAAGCATAAGACTAAAGAAATGAATGTTCATTGCCTATTAGAATAGTGTTGTTTTATTATTTCTTAAATTTTKTATCAATAATTTAAGTTCAAATTATATTATCTATGACAGTTAATATTACATTATTCAAAAACATATAGTTCAAGTAGTTCAACMATTTTAATTTTCTCGAATTYTTACTTAATTTTATGCACTCTGTTCCAAATAAGATGACTTAGGTTCCCACACAATGGGTGTACAAAGCCCCATAAATATCAGTTAGATTATGGTTGGTTAGAGACAAACTACTAGACTGCAAACCAAACACAATTTGGTTACTTGAGCATACGTCATCTAAATTAGAACAGAGTGAAAAAGACGATATTATTAAATAATTTRAACCGTTATAAACTTTMATCTTATTAATCRCARAATATTAAGGAACCCAGTGTAATGATAATCACAAGAGCTCCAGGAACTCGTGCGCCTTATCGTTATCATGACAAGTATCACAATACCCATTAAATATTTTATTATCTTTATATATCAATGATAAGTATCGATTATATGTTTCATCTACACTTGCACCAGTCCACACTAGGACAATTATTATTATCAGTGAATTGTACCAGTGCCACCATGGTTTAATAGTGYGGTATGGTGGAAAACACTATGAAATTAATATTAAAATACAAATCACATTTTATTACAAAAATATATTTTAAAAAGAAAAATTCACTTAAAAAATATCATCATATTTAATATTAATACAAAGACAAACATTATTGGAATGTAAAAAAATATATTGATTTGATTTGTGCTATTAWTATAAATACAAAAAAATAATTTTTATAAAAAATGATCAAGTACTCTCCGAACACTCACAAATTTATCACAGTTATGTAAACAATTAATAATCTAAATTAATTCTAATGGCCCTTATAAATTGGAGTAATTCAAAACTAAATAAAAATAATTCWACAGGACGGAACAATTTTCAGTGATGTTTAAGTACACAAAACAGAATAATAATATATTCTAAAATTGTAATAATTTACAACATAAAAATTAGGAAAATGTAAATATTATGTTTCTTTARAAAGAGTTAAAAATATTTTATGTTCCTAAATATTAAAGGCAGTTTGGAAATTAAAAAATTATACAACATTTTCGCCTTGTTTTCAAAGGATCACCAACGATTACATCCTCAGTATCACCAGCAAATCTATTAAATGCAGCTCCAGAATCAGATGGCATATCAGTACTATTAGAGAGAAGACCAGCTGCTGCACGAGTTTGTGCTCGCTGTTTTTTCAACTCAGCCAAAGTRCCCGCATTTATAGTTACCGAAACATGTATATTTATTTTACCATCACTTTCAGTTGTATAACAGGTTTCAGCAGCTGGGCCAATATCAACAGATTCTAACTGTGACTTTTCTTCAGTAACATCTTCACCCTCAGGCTCACAACGTTCTGTAGTAGGTATTGTTGGAGGAACAGCAATAGATACTGGAACAAATGAATCTATTGATGAATCTCCCTCAAAGTCACTAGTAGTCCGCTCATTAGCCAAAAACTTTTTTGCAAACTAAAATAAAAATAAAAAACAAATTAATTTTTATTGAACTCATCCGTGAAAACATCTCACCAGCATTGGCAGTTTCAATCTAACAATTGCTAACATAACAAAACTATGTTTAGCAGTTTTCATTCAGCTTTKATATTTTCAATACTTAAGTGATTTCACCCATTATTTAACATAAAATATTAATATTTTCCATTGTTTTTTGATGTTTATTATCGATAATTTAATTTTTAAGCCAGTTTAAAAATGTAAAATTTTACCTTTTAAAATGCTCATAAATTGTTTCAAAATATATGAAAAAAAAAACATTAACCATAAAAGAACGTTATTAATGTTAAATTTTATAATAGATCAACTCGCTATACTATTAAAACTAAATACTAACAAAGCTAAGCGAAAACTGACAAACATAAATTGTATTATGTTACCATTGGTAAAACTGATACAATACATCAATACATGTAGTAATACACATTCTCTAAACGCATTCTGTAAAATTGTACTACTTAATATCAACAGGTTGTTTTACTAACATTTTGAGCTTCAACCCTTAACCTAGCTTCTTCAACTGCATCCTTTTTAGATGTCAAAGTTTTTTCTCTAATAGATGTTCTTCGAACAGATTGAGCTCTAGTGTTATTTGATTGTGTCCGCCGTACTCTTCTTCTTTGAGCTTCTTTTTTGGTCTCTTGTTCATTACGTAATTGTAATATACGATCACGTAAATCTGGATCTTCACAAATGTCTGCAGGCGTTTCATCATTTTTTGTCTTAGCATTCAAATCAGCTCCATTTTGAACCAATATCTCCAACACTTCCAACTAATCACAAATGTAAAATGGCATATTTATCATAAGCAACTTTACTCATTAATTTACATAAGCATTGTTCAGTGTCYCATCTTTATTCTCTAGAGTTTTATGTAAGGTTTTACTTAACCATTAGTACAACATTATAAAAAATTAAAGATTCTAACTTATTGATAGTACATTTACCACTTTATCAGTGATCAAATCTACAGTTAAATACATAGTGACTCAAACACTAAATGTACTTAGAAAAACTATACTTACATGACCCCAACAAGCAGCTGCATGAACAGGTTGCCATCCATCAGAATCTTTAACATCAGTAGCAACATGGTTATCTAATAAATATTCTACCACTTTTAAATACCCATTGGAAGCAGCAATATGTAACTAAAATACAATTGAATTTTTGATAAGTTATAATGAACAATGAAAAAATATATGTAAGTACACAATATATATTACAGGTGTAGCTCCTTGGTGGTCATATGATTCTAGTAAATAACTCTGATTATTTTCAACAGCTTGTTGGAGTTCTTGTAACATTCGATGTTCTGTAGTAGAACGTGTATTATCAATCAATTGTTGTGTAACACCTCGTCTAGCCATTTCACTCTCAATAAGATCTAATGCAGCTTCGTCTTCACAAATATCATAAGGCATATTACCATCAGCATTTACGGAAAGTAAGTTAGCACCCCTAAAAATAAATTATTGTAAACAAACAGGAGAACAGAACATAAGAATAAAAAACAATAATAATAGCATACTTATCAATAAGATATTTGATTAAATGTAAATGGGCACAAGTGGCTGCTGCATGTAATGGAGTCCATTTTTCACTATCTTCAGCGTTTACATTAGCACCAAACTCCACTAAGAGTTTCATCATTTGTTCATTATCATCAATACAACACTAAAACAATTAAAAATAATAATAAATTAACAACAGTACATATTATTTTTATTTTAGTTTTTTAAAACAAAAATGTAGAATTTCTAGACTAATTAAAGCATATACCTCTATACTTATAAACAAAAATTTTTAATTACAATTTAAAAAAATTCAACTATACTATAAACAACAACATTGATAATGTGAAATTTGAGACTAATATAGTCTATAGATTCTGAGCRGAGCTAGGAATGTTTTAGTTTTASAAATTACAATTTTACAATTTCTTTTTATTTTATATTCTGTTAACACTTTTTCTCCCACTAAACTTGCTCAAAAGTATCAAATGCAGCATCTTTTCTGAAAGGTAATGTTCTTGAGCTAGTACTTTAGAGAAGTCATTTTTCGATTTATCGAAATGGTACTCGAAATAAAAGCGGTTAAAGGATAAAAAATGTACAATTTCACGATTTTATAATATTAAATAATTACGGACAACATTTTTTTTTTGAAATTATAACAATATAATTAATATAGTATAATATATTCTAGACGGATAAACCGTCTCCACTCAGAATCGTGTTTCGTATACAATGATATTACATCATTGAATTCAAATTTAATACCATCCATTACAACAACCCACTTATAACCTACTGTACTGTATCCACTTACTTACCCGTTTTTTAATTTAATTTTATACATAACATTGAAATTTAATACCTATATAGATTATGTTTAAGTGTTGAACTATATATATTATTTATTACCTATTTAATCGTTATAAAATGCACGGTAAAAAAAACCATGGAAAACGGTTAGGGTAAAAACAACAAGGAAAAAATAAAAATTTATAATTTTATAGATAAAGTAGGATTAGAGAGGATAGGGCTTGGGATAGAGTATAAATAATTATGTTTATAGAGTAATGTTATATTAGGTACCTACATCAACAATTAGAATAGTGATTGCAAAGACCTCACACATATTTTTAGACAGAAAAATAATTATTGTTTACGAATCAATCTCGAATTTGACTTGATGCATTGTCTTGATAAAAATATGTTTAATTAAAACCAAATTTTGCGTTAGTTGTTACCTTGTTATTTATAATATAGTGGCATTATTTCTATACTTCTAGATTCATGTAAATCATATTACATATTATGATATTTTATTGTATCTTAAATAAAATTTTAAGCATTCCATAGTTGTAAAAATTAAAATTATTTTTATTTTTGAATTTATGTTACACAAAATTTACCTGATGCAAGGCAGTAAGTCCATCTTCATTTGTAGCATCTGGACTGACCCCCTTGATCAAAAGTCTCTTTACTGAAAACATTTACACGAGTGTCAACTCTTACTGCACAACATTAAATTAATAATTTATTTAGGTCATACCTTCTTCAATATCATTTCTAGAAGCAGCTTCCAACAACATGACATTGTCACTGAAATATATATGCCTATTATTGCGCGGTGGAGATGACCGTCGACGCTCACGRTCTTTTTGAGCCCACAGTCGTAATTGTTGCACCCGACGGCGTCTAGCCAGGGCCAACCTGTCTGCCGTGGGCATCCGTTCTAAATGAGACATTTCCAACACCAACTCAGCGTGATCCATTATGTTGAAGAGCCGACGAATTCGATCGATTTCTATTTGAGAAAAATGTTTAGCGTCGACTAACAACCGGTGACACCAATACTTTTTACTGCCACCGGTTTGATTTGCATAGTTGAAATGTCCATTATCGTTCTCGGTGGTGTTTCACAAAATCCGTCGCTAAACAAATGTAATACTAGTAATAGTCAAAACTAAAAGTTACCTAAAGCGATCTTTATTTGACGGCAAACATTATTCTAAATAATGTTCACTAGGAAGAGATTCTTAAATCCTAACTAAACGACTAATTCTAAATTTATGATGTATAAAAAAAACATAAGAAAATACCGTTGTTTTTGTTATCACGTATGTCTTATCAATAATTATGTCACAACTCGCAGTGGTTTCGCCATGGTTTACCAATACAGCAGCTCGCTTCGTGGCGAATTTATTGTCGGTAGGGATTCGTAGACACGTGCGAAAGAATGCGCGGTGCATTTGAAAGTTCTGACTGTTCGAACAAGTTGAAATAGTCATTATATGAATTATAACATTAATTATAGTTTATATTACATAAATGTTTCTAAATTTTGTAGGTTAATTTTTCCAAAAACATTAATAATATCATAATATTTAACTACCATCTATTGTGGCGTACTATAATTCATAAATACTGACGAGTGATGAAATTATGAGAATSTTTGTGTAAATGAAAATAACTTAAAACTATATTTTTGAAAATATCAGTGTGGGTGGATATTAGACAATAATGGGTAAACGGGCATTTCATCCCATTTAATTATTAAAATATGATATTTGGCCCACAGGAGTTATAAAAAAGCTTTTTAATTTAATATTGTTTTGATAAAACGGAAAATGACAG